TAAAGTTCGGTCTTGACAAATGCAAAATCAATAGCATAAAGAAAGGAAAATGGCACGAATCGGAAGGTCACAAACTAACCCAAGCATCAGGAGGTGGAGTCATCGATGCTATGCAGAAGGACGAAACCTACAAGTACCTAGGATTCGCCCAGGCCCGAGGAATTGCAACAGACGATGTAAAGCAACAACTGGTGAAAAAATTCAAAGATCGAACCACTAAAATTTTAAAGACAGGGCTATCTGCACAAAATACAGTTGCAGCAATTAACTCATACGCTGTCTCAGTTGTTGCGTACAGCTTTGGTGTTGTTTCGTGGACTCAAACGGACTTGGATGGACTAAATCGCAGTATAAGAGTCTGCTTCACGAAGCACCGCAAACATCATCCCAAAGCGTGCATTGAAAGATTCCATCTGCCCAGAACCATGGCAGGAAGAGGAATAACCGACATGCGCCTTCGCCACCAGAGTAAGGTTGAGCTGCTCAGAAAATACTTTTACAGTAAAGAAACCAAGTCCGCGTTACACAGAGCAGTCATCAACCTAGATGAAAATGTATCGCCCCTCAAACTTAATGACAGGCGATATCGATGCGACCCAGAATACTCTACAGGTATACTTCAGAACAGATGGAAGCAAAAAGAGCTGCATGGCAGATACCCCAACCTCCTTAGCAATGGAAGTATTGATACCGCAGCTACTTTTAAATGGCTGACATCAAGCAACATCTTCCCAGAGACTGAAGGATTCTTATGTGCGATACAAGACCAAGTTATTCCGACAAAATCGTACCTGAAATACATTGTCAAGGACGCAAGAATAACCGACATAAGATGTCGTATGTGTGGCGAAGGTCATGGAAACATAGAGCATCTCCTAAGCGGCTGTAAGACGATGGCGCCGCGCGAGTATACAACTAGACATAACAACGTTGCCAAAATAATCCATAGTGAGATTTGTCACAAACTGGGACTTATAGAAAATAAACTGCCATACTACCAGTAAACCCCACAGGCGATCTTAGAAAATGCACACCACAAAGTGTATTGGGACAGACAAATCCTAACAGATAGACCAGTTCAGCATAATAGACCAGATATTATGGTATATAACAAAGACCAACAGGCTACTATCTTATTAGACATCTCCGTGCCTTCACCTTTCAACATTGAAAAAAAAAAACATCAGGAAAAGGTCGAAAAATACTTATTGCTGGCTGAGGACATGAAACAGACTTGGGAAGTTGAGTCAATCAAAATCGTTCCAATAGTGGTAGGAGCAACAGGAGAGATACCAATAAAACTAACAAAGAATCTCAAAGCTGCTGGCTGGACTACATAACAGTCTCTCTATGCAACTACAGAAGGCAGTCATTCTGTCAACTTGCAACATAATGCGAAAGGTATTAAATCAAAAAATTAAAATAGAAGAATCTCTGTAATGCCTGTGCTTTGTGATATTGAAATAATAATAATAATAATAATAATAATAATAATAATAATAATAATAATAATAATAATAATAATAATAATAATAATAATAATAATAATAATATTAATATTAATAATAATAATAATAATAATAATAATAATAATAATAATAATAATAATAATAATAATAATAATAATAATAATAATAATAATAATAATAATAATAATAATAATAATAATAATAATAATAATAATAATAATAATAATAATAATAATAATAATAATAATAATAATAATAATAATAATAATAATAATAATAATAATAATAATAATAATAATAATAATAATAATAATAATAATAATAATAATAATAATAATAATAATAATAATAATAATAATAATAATAATAATAATAATAATAATAATAATAATAATAATAATAATAATAATAATAATAATAATAATAATAATAATAATAATAATAATAATAATAATAATAATAATAATAATAATAATAATAATAATAATCATAATAATAATAATAATAATAATAATAATAATAATAATAATATAAGGGGGGTGGGTTGGCTCAGTGGTTAGAGTCATGACTCTGAGATCGGAAGGTCTCAGGATCGAATCCCACCGGTGGCAGGAATTTTTATTTAATTAGAAAATTAAATATTAATTCTAATGCATAGGTAGGATTCCCCACTCGACCATTCACTGTTGGGTTCTAATTAACAGTGCTGTTCCTAAAGTGGCGCTGGGAAACAGTAACAAAGCCTACACAGAACACGAGGCTAATGGCCGTAGTAGTCGACGCCGATGACACCAAATTAAAAAAAAAAAAAAAAAAAAAAAAAAAAAAAAAAAAAAAAAATAATAATAATAATAATAATAATAATAATAATAATAATAATAATAATAATAATAATAATAATAATAATAATAATAATAATAATAATAATAATAATAATAATAATAATAATAATAATAATAATAATAATAATAATAATAATAATAATAATAATAATAATAATAATAATAATAATAATAATAATAATAATAATAATAATAATAATAATAATAATAATAATAATAATAATAATAATAATAATAATAATAATAATAATAATAATAATAATAATAATAATAATAATAATAATAATAATAATAATAATAATAATAATAATAATAATAATAATAATAATAATAATAATAATAATAATAATAACAATATTTTAAGTATGTTCCATTCCCGGTCCTAGAAAGTGATACATACCTTCTGTACTGGGATACGCCAATACAGACCGACAAACCAGTATCCAGCAATAGACCTGACATCGTCTTTGTAAGAAAAAAGGAGAAAGTGGGCTTCTTCATCGACATCACGCACCCCAACGATCATAATCTAGAAAAAGCAGAAAAGGAAAAAAATAATAAATACTTCGAATTGGCCGAAGAATATAAAAGTATACATAAACTAAAAAGTATTACCATAATTCCCATAGTAATTTCAGCTACTGGTCTGGTTTCGAAGAAGTTGGAGTCGTACCTAAAACAAATAAACATCACTGACAAAAATATCTTCACAACAATGCAAAAGTCAGTTTTACTAGAAACTTGTCGTATTGTGAGAAAAACTCTGAACTTACCTGCCAATGAATAAAAGTCGCACAACTCACACTTGAAAAAATTTAAAGCCTGATTAATTGACTGATTCCGTAAGAATCCCAATTTATCAACAACCCTGAGAAGGAGAAAAAAAAAAATAATAATAATAATAATAATAATCAAAAAATTATGAAAGTCGGGCGATATCCGGGATCAAATGCATTATATTTAGGTAATTTTTTCGAACTACAAAGAAATATTTCATTTAAAAGTTGCTTCTGATTTCATTATCAACATATTAAAAACCCAGGGTACTATACATAGAATGCGATCTTATGTCTGCTTATAGGGCATCCATAAAATCCTATAACGAATCATGCGAATTAATTAAAAATTCATATGGTCTGCTGTAGGATTCGAAGCCTCTCAACCAAAAAATTGCTTGCAAATGAATGCAAGCTCCAAAGGCACCTACGCCATCAAGATGATTAGGTTATGATTCCACAAATTATGAACATTTAAAATATTTGTTAGGATTTTTTTGGAGAAAATGAATAAAATCTATAGAATAACAGGTAAATAATCACAATTTAACAATATTGAAATAATTATATAACAGTTCGTTAAATATCTTCCAACTCTATTAAACATTCATTATAATAACGTTTCTATCTTTAAAGATTTACATGTGCACTCTTTTAACTCTGTGGGCAAGTTCAAGATGACGCTCTATGGAGTGGGCAGGGCATGAGCAGAGTCCTGTCAAGTCAGAGAGCGAATGTAGTAACATCACGAACGCGCTCTGTCACTCAGAGTAAAAATCATAACCCCGAACTCTAGTATATCAGTCAACGGTCAGTTAAATAATTTAAAAAAACAAATATTACTCAGCAGAAACCCACAGAACAATAATCTGTGCCGTTCAATGACATAATTGACATTTCATTATTTAACTTCCAGACAGATCTTGATCTTCTAATATAGAGTTAAAAGAGTGCACTCGGAGGCCATACTCATATCGAACGCGACAGATTACACTTCGAATCTCTAAAAAAACGTGAAAATGAACTCAGAGCAACCGGAGTTTCTACTCGAACTCACGGTGTGTTAGAAGATCGAGATCTGTCGGGAAGTTAAATAATGAAATATCAATGAACGGTACATATTATAGTTATGTGGGTTTGTGCTAAGTAATATTTGTATTTTAAAATTATTTAACTTACATAGATTCTGAAAGTTTATTGTTATTATATTGTAAGCATAATAATTGACTGACCGTTGACTAACATAATGGATTGAGGTTATGATTTTTACTCTGCGTGACAGAGAGCGTTCGCAATGTTACTACATTCGCTCTTTGACTTAAAAGGACTCTGCCTATGCTCTATCCACTCCATAGGGCGTCATCTTGAACTTGCCTTAAGTATATGAGGGAGCTGTTTTTAGAAGTCAAAATTTACAAAAGTAAAGAAAAACAATGTAGATGGGGGTGGGTTGGCTCAGTGGTTAGAGTCATGACTTTGAGATCGAAAGGTCTCAGGATCGAATCCCACCGTTGGCCGGAATTTTTTCATTTAATTTAATTATTTAAAATTAATTCTGATGCCTTGGTAGGATTCCCCACTCGACCATTCACTGTTGGGTTCTAATTAACAGTGCTGTTCCTAAAGTGGCGCTGGGAAACAGTTACAAAGCCTACACAGAACACGAGGCTAATGGCCGTAGTAGTCGACGCCGATGACACCAATTAAAAAAAAAAAAAAAAAAAACAATGTAGATAATGAGTTTCACATTAAATCTGAAAGTATTACAGTGAAAGAATTCCAATAAAAATCTAATCTAATTATTACTTATTAAAAACAGGTAATTAGTATTTAAATATTAAGAGTTTTCTTAATAGATATACTGTATACAATGACAACGCACATTACCATATATATTATTTATTTCTTTTCAGTTGGGTTCGTTATTACCTGTTACGACGCCAGCTCCCCCTACAACAGCTGCTCCCCAAATTAGGCCTCCATTCGAAGCTAGCAACCTCATCAATCACATATCCAAGCCAGCAGATGTTTCGCATGTAAGTAATCCTTCTTAAGTTTTATACAAAAGGACGTAACATAAAATAATTAAGTTCGGAAAGTAGGTCTCCGGAAAATTATTTTTCTCGAGTTTCTAATCTTAAATAAAAAATAAGTTCTCTGAGTTTTAAAGTTTTTAAATCATCCAGTAACTTGCTTAAGTCGAATACAAGACACCAAAACGCTAAGAATATCTATAAGATTACGAGCATACCAAAACAGTAATAAACTTGTTTTATTTACCGAACTTCTTTTCTGTCTGATAACTGTTAAATCAAATAAATTAGCATAATTAATTAATATATATATATATATATATATATATATATATATATATATATATATATATATATATAAAAAATTCAAACTAATTTATATATATATATCTATCGTCGGTGTCGTTCTAATACCTTGTAACCCTCATTTTGACAAAAATTAGATTTTTACGTCAAATTGTTGCGGTTACCCATATTTACCATTACAGAAAACCTCGTAGCCCACAAAATTTTTTAAACTTTAAAAATTTACCTTTTCTAAAACCTCGTATAGTAATAGTAATAAATAAACAGAACGGTTTTTGGCTTCTCCTGTAAAATGTTACTTTTGGGCTTACGAGGTATTAGAACGACACCGGCGATATATATATATATATATATATATATATATATATATATATATAAAAAAATATTTTTTTTCCTAAAACATTTACTATTTTATGCTGCAGTGGTATCCAAAAATGGTAAGTGCATATTTATTTTACTTACGAGTATTTACTAGGTTTTGAATTAGCACAACTGGCCAATTTTTCTCTACTTGATGTCCCGAATGTACGCCTTATTTTAAATCTGGTTAAGAGTTTTCTAGAATTAATTTCTACAATTAAACTATTTTTTAAATAAATAAAATAATTCCAACCAAGGCATAAAATAAATTAAATAAAACAAAGCCATATGTAATCCAAAATACAAACAATCGCTTCTCTTTGGAAAACAACTACTCCTTTGGCTAATACCGCAACAGGTATTGATTTAGATCCAAAGGAAAGACAGCAGAGATAGAAATTAAATTTCAATACTCTACCTTTAGATCAGTTTCATTTTGATTAGAATTATCAGCAAGATATTCTCAATTCTAGTCTTTAATAGACGTAGCAAAGGTACCAAATTGTATAAGGCTACTACCTGTTGCGGTATTAGCCAAAGGAGTAGTTGTTTTTCTACGATATACGGTCGCCCGTATTTTGTGACATATGGCTTTAATTTATTTATTTTATTTTACGTCTTGGTAACATTTGATTTCTAATTATTTGATTTCAAAAAATTGTGGGCCTGGCTTTTGGTTCCACCTAATTTGATTTTTCTTACTAGGTGCAGGTGGTGTTAATATTTTATCTACTGGACTACTTATTCTTTAGTTATATATACTAATGAACTTATTTCATTTGCTAATTCCATTAAGAGATTGAAATTGAGAATCTATTTATTTCTTACTAATGAGCTTAATACTGACGTTCTCCTTGCTAACCAAAATCAAAGATAGAGAGTGAACTAAAGTTCTGTCTCTGCTGTCTTTCTTTTGAATATAATTCAATACCTGCGGTATTAACCAAAGGAGTAGCTGTTTCCCGAAGGGAAAAGGTCGCTCGTATTTTGTGTAACATATTATCATGATATCTTGATTTATATATTTTATTTTAACTTATTGTTTTATTGTTGGTTCGGTTTAAAAACCATGAACTTGAAAAATGATTTGACATTCAGTTTATTTTTAAATTTGGGGTGGCCATCAAAGTCTCTTTGTAATAATACTGATTCTAACGAACAGACCACCAAAAAATGTATCTTTTCCACGTCAGTAATCGTATGCCTTATATATTTTAAACCTTTTTATTGGCAGAATCATAATAATATATATTTTAAATTTTAACCTATATAAAGATGGGTATTTGTTTGGGCTACAAAATAAGGTCGCAAGAATAGCAGAAAACAATATTCCTACATAAACTCGATGAATCTAAAATCTTATTAGCACCTGTTGTTTATTTATTTTAATTTAGTAAGAATTCAGTATTAACTTTAAAACGTCAGAAATTATTAGTAAAATAAAAATTACATAAATAAAATTTATTTACAATATAAAAAGTCTGATGTGTCCAACACATGACTTTCCTGTCAGTAGTTAATGAAAGACTTGAGTACATTTTTCAAACTGCGCATGGGCGGCATATGTCACGTGTCAGCTGTCATGTCATCTAGCAGCTGTCAAATGTCATGTCATTTTTTAACTGTCATGTCAGCTATCAATTCAGTGTTGCCAGTCATCTGTCAATAGTGATGCCAACGGTCATGTCATCTGTCAACAGTGTTGCCAACGGTCATGGCATCTGTCAACAGTGTTGATAACTGTCATGTCATCTGTTAACAGTGTTGATGAACTAACACCAACATTGTTGCCAACATGGTACCTGCAAGTAGATGCCGCAAAAGTCTCAACGAGTCAACTGTCAGAGACGTTCAAGATGGCGGCACTAACATGGAGGGAGGGGCAAGTGGTGGCGCAGTAAGGAAGGATGAAGCCGTGAGCTGTAACCTCACATATGACATCTGTCAACAGCGTTGCTAACCTAATAGCTCCAAAGTTGGCTAACTCAACATGTCAAAGCGACCATAGCTCTGAAGTTGGTTAACTTAACATGTCCAAGCGACCATAACTCTGAAGTTGGCTGACCTAACTTGTCAAAAAGTCCAGAGAATTGATAGCCCTGATGACAGATATAGATCCAGCGCCATTTTTTAGCCATTTTAACCTACCGTGGTAGCGCCTGGAGACATGAAGAACTGAAGGCTGGGGAAGAGTGGAGATGAAGATAATGGTAAACGATAAATGTAAGAGCGTTGTCAATAATGCGATGCAGCTGCCAAGTGTCATTTACAAAAGCCATCCAACTTAACTTCTGATGACATAAAAAACTGGAGGAGGAGGCCTAGTCAGGGGAATAAGCTGAAGTAAAATAACGTTGAAGCGCAATGGCCGTAAGGGCATAAGTCATTGTTGCAATGAAAGACGGAAAAACAAGAAAGTCAAAACAAAGCTTCGCTTCTATTTAAACGGGATCAAATTACATGTCATTGAAATAAATCTAGCATTACCAGAAGGACTTTAGATGAAATAACAGACAGACGGAAGGGAGATACAAACATAGGACAGACAAACGGAAGGAGGAGACAAACATAGGACAGACAAACGGATAGTCGTAGAAAGTCATACAGCTTATCACCGATATGTCAACAGTGATAATCTTACACCACATACCCAAAATACTGCTCTACTTAATAATTTAAGGAACTTAACTCCCAATAACACGAATTTAGTTGTTTCACAAGAAAATAACATACACTTTACCTCTTTACCTTACATCGAGGAGATCACACCTAAACTATCAAGAATTATAAATATTAATAGTAACATTAAGATAGCCAATAAGGCAGTTCTAACAATAGGCTCAATCTATTCTAAACTCAAAGATAAAACCCCCTTAAAATCATTATCAGATGTAGTATACAACATTCCTTGTCTAGAATGTAATAAAGTCTATATTGGTCAAACACAAAGACCTATCTCAGGTAGAATCTCCTCCCACAGAAGTGATTGCAGACTGCATCCGGAACGTTGTGCTTTGACTGAACATGCTAATAAATATCAATATAATATAAATTATGACGAAATTAAAATATTAGCCATTGAAAATAACTACCTTAAAAGACTTTTCTTGGAGATGGCTTTCATTTCACAGGAACCAAATTCTATGAACAAAAAGACAGATATTAACAATTTAAGTGAAATTTATTCTTATTTATTGGATTTGGACAATAAACCAAACCAAATTCATAATTTAAATAATACAGAGCTAATTTAATATAAAAATCACTCTTTGAACATTTAAAAAAAAAATATTAATGTTATGTAAACATAGCATTATCCACATTTATTTCCTAACCTCTAATAACTTGTTATTTATTTAAAATTTTACTTGTCATGTCAAATTGTCCAATTGACCTTTCGTTATTTATATTTTTTTAGTTTTAAAGTATCGTAGTTATTGTTTGTGTATATTATTTTGTAATTGACTTCAGCTTATCCATTTTGTATCTTTACACTAAACTGAATAATACCACCAAAATGAACAACCTTAATTAAGATGTAAGTAATAAAAAAAAAAAAAAAAATTTACCTTACTTTATCATAATATGTGCTATTATTTTATTTTAGTCTCCCTGATGATGGAAATAAACATTTCCGAAAGCTTGGAATAAACTTAAACAAGTACTCTTTCATTTGCTGCATTACCCACAAATTACTGGTTTAATTATTAACTAGTCAGCAACGACTATCAACTCTCTTTATATATATTATATATATATATATATATACTCGACCAGCGTATCATGTGACATCCAGCAAAAATTTTGACTTTGTGACATCCACCCTTTGCAAAGACTTTAGGAAAAAAATAAAAATATGACTTCTTTTAATTAAAAAAATATTATGGCTGAGCGAAAAATATCACAACCATACACATTTTAAAAAAATAAAACGTCCTATCGTTGTGACATCCAAAGTATACACGGTATATATTTTTATTAACAACACTTTGTGACATCCAGAAAAACCTTGCATCTTGTGACATCCAGTTGTTACGTCACAGTATACCATTTCTACAGAAAAACTGCCATTCTTATAACATCCAGCAAGTATATAGATACATTTTTAAATTAAGCATCTTATTACATCCTAAACATTTAACACGTTCAGCGCCAAAGCCGACCCTCAAATTCTACGATTTCTTATTGTTTTTTATTCCAATGTGATTTCTTTTGTTGTTTTGTATGTGATAAAATAATTCATTTCATTTTCAAATTATTCTCTTTTTAGTTTTTGATTGTGTATATTTTTAGATACACTGGCCCAAAAAATAGTTTTCGATGAAGTAACTTCTTGA